ATATGAGATGGCTCAGAGGGCTGGCTCAGAACCCTCAGAACAGTGCGCCATGTTTCAGACACCAGCACAGCCAAGGATGCCTCGGACATGGAACATGGGGCTCACCCACAGACTCAGAGGGCTCTGTGCCCCACTCTGTCTCACATCTCAGTGCCCATTAAAAAAAAAGAAAAAAAAGTGGCTGTCAGACATGAGGAGAATATAAAGGTCAAAGCAACTCAAATATAAGTGGAATTTTCTGGAGGACTTGTAAATCACAGATTCCTGGGTCCCACACCCAGTGTTCCTGATGTAGCTAGTCTGGGGCGGGGTCCAAGAATTTACATTTCTAAAAATTTCCCAAGAGATGCTGATGTTGCTGACCCCTGGACTGCATTTTGAGAACTGCTGATGTAAAGCAATGTCCACTTCTGTTCATTATTAATAGCCTCCAGACCCGAGAGCCCACTTGAAGAGTGAATGTGCAGTTTTCCCTAGAAAAAGTCCCTAGGTGGTGCTCTGAGCCCCTCTTACTCTGTATTCCCACTCAAGCTCGGTGAGGCCCTCCATCTGAACTTCACTGACCAGAGGAAGCACTGACCAATGGTCATGGGCATGAACTAAGTCTTGATAAAGACAGTAGCAAAGTGAATCTTGCCACCTCTCCCAAGGCAGGACGAAATCCCAAACTACAGGACTCCTGGGAAAATAAGTTTCTTGTTAATTAGTATTACTCAGATTCAATTCTCCTTTCAAAGGACTTCCCCATTAATTCAATTCAATACAATTCAGTGTAATTAATATAGCGATTCTATTCCCTGGTAAAATGATCCACCACAACCACTGGAGCACTAAGGCTCAAACTTTTATGTGAAAATCCCCCAGACTCAGTCTTCCAGGTCCCAATTCAATCAATGGGAAAGGAGAGAGAGTGTCAGATGATTCTGAAGCAAATGAGACTGCCCCTTCTTTGAGAAACACCCCAATAGAAGCCTAAGTACTCAACAATTTTAGTTTCCCTCTAGTTTTCTTCTCATATACATCTCAAGAGAAAGCTGTCAAAATAAACATTTCCAGCAAGAGTCTGGCAAACCCAGGGTACCTTTCTCAGCAGAGCCTTCTCCAGAATTAAAGCTAGGGTATGCAAAATGTCTCCAAGAGTAAATTATTCAAACTAAATTCAATATAACAAACCATAATTAATGACCTATTAGTTGGTTAGAAATTGCTTTCTGCTACTAGTAACAGAATCTCAATGGCAGTGGCTTAAACAAATTTACTGTTTATTCTATAATGTGAAAAAATTTGGAAGTAGTTGATCAAGGCTGGTATGGGAGCTCCATAAATTCATCAGAGATCAAGGCTCCTTCCATCTTTTTGCTCAGGGTAATAAAATGGCTGTTAGAATTCATATCTGTATTCCAGGCAGGAAAAGGGAGTCCTGCTCCCAGGTGAGTCATTTCCTTATTCAAGTTTTTCCTGGAAGCCCCAACCAGTAATTCCCTCTTATCACTGGCTACCCCTAAGTGTAAGGGAAGCTGGGTAAGTAGCCTGTCAGCCCAACACATTGCTGTCCCAAGATTTTTAGGATTCTGTAACTAAAGAAGAGGAAGAATGGAAGTTGAGTAAGGTGACAGGAAGTCTCTGCCACAACCTACCAAGTACGGCGTGGGGTGAGGAGGGAGGCGACAGAGCTGCGCAACCCTTCAATTCATTAGGAAGGACACAGAGCCCACAAACAAGCGTAACTCAGAGGAAAACTACCCCATGTGCTAAAAGATCTGTGGAACAAGTGCTGCAAGGCTTTCGGAAGGAAGGGGCATGCGAGCTGCTTCTGAACATACAGGTAGAATCATGCACAACCTAGCCACTGACAGTAATTCCTTGTCCCCCAGGTCCCCAGCCTACACACTCTACCCTGACTTAACTCATGCTGCTCCGCCCTCCTCTAAGCACTCCTCCCTGCTTTTCCCCTTCCCCCTAGGTATGGAAAGATAGGTGTGATGTCCCGTCATGGGAAGTACTCAAACACAGATTGCACAAACATTTAGAAGGGAAGCTGTAAGAGCTTTCTCTTAGTTGCAAGCAACAGAAGACAAGCCTCAGATCCCATTCTACCTGAGATTCCCAGATTCCCTTCAGCAGGGATGTCCTCTGTCTTTAGTGTTCCTCCAGAAGTCCTCCTCTCCCTTCCCCTTCCCCCGTGGTCTCTTACCTCTTTTAAAGCTGATACTTTCTGCATGGCCCACACAACTTGATGTTAGCTTTATAACCAGTTCTGCATTGTTTCCCATCTTTTCCTTTGCATAGGTCTAATGTCAAAAGAACATGTTATAACTAATTCAAGGACAAGAACTGAGTCTTATTCCCTCATACCTCCACTATGCCTTGCCCATAGAGTGACCAGCCATCCTGTTGTGCCTGGGACTCAGGTGTTTCCTGGAACATGGGACTTTCAATGCTAAAACTGGTTGTCGGGGGGATCCTGACAAACCAGGATGAGTTAATTACCCTCCGAACCCTAGAAACACGCACATTGTAGCACCTGCTTAGTGATCGCTAACTATGGTAGACATTTCTGCTTTTCACCAGTATGTCCGGTAATTCCTCTCCTGGGCACACATTGCACTTCCCCATCCCCTTGAAGTTGGGCATGACTGTCTGACTGGCTCTGACCAATAAAATGTAAGTGGACTTAATGTGTGTCACTTCAGAGTGGAAGTATTTAAGACCCTATGCAGCATTCTCTGTACACCCTCTTGCTCTGGCCACCCCTGAGCCTCACATCATAGAGGGGGCAGAGACTGTCTCTGAAGCAGAGCCCTCTGCCTCCCCACGCTGGACATGTAGTGTGAGCAAAACTTAGCTTCACTTGTGGTAAGTTACTGAGATTTTTATGTTTTTTAATACTGCAGCCAGAGACAGACAGGCTAACTTAACTGGCTGGTACATCAATCACCAAAAATATCACTAGCAACTCATGCAAAGTCAAGTCACTACAGCAAAAAAACTCTTAACAGGGTTTTTTCTCAGGCGGAACTTTAAAGCACACAGCCAAAACACTGTGGGAAAGTGGGAAATTTGAGCCAGGTCTCCCAGGAAGTTCAAAGAAGCTGGGTGCAAGAGCTCCTGAGAACAGAGGCTCTGGAAACAGAATTTGTTTTCCTAGTTCCTCCCCATCCACCCAAGTTATTGAGTTTAATTGTTGACTTTAAAATTTGATTTCAATTTTAGAAAGTTCAACTCTTCAATGTTCAGATGGGAAACTCTCCAAAAGGGGAAAACGGCTGGTTCAGGATCACACAGGGCACCACTGGTTATGATCTCCCCACACATTTTTGGCCATTTTTTCCCTTTATGTTGCTTGTCTACCTAGTTAACTCATCATAATTGCCCATTTTGGGGATTTCAGGTACTTAGCCATGACTTGATGGTGAAAAACTAGTCTCAGTCTCATGTATGGATTTAAAAACATATTTTTTAAGAAACCTTGTATTACAATAGTAATAAGTGTATACTCATTTTTTAAATATAAGAAAATGAAGAATGATCTTAAATATCCAAAATCTCACCCATCCAGAGGTCATCACCATTAATACTATTTAAAAATAATAATGGATTTTTTACATTTTGGAAAATTAAAAAATTCATCCTTGTCAGCATTTTTCTGGTTCCATGAGATTCTGTTTCAATAGATGTAATTTACTTAACCAGGCTCCTTGTCTTGAATATTTGGATTGTTTGGGGTTTTTTTGCTTTTTTTTTTTTTTTAATCATAAGCACTGTTCATTTAAGCACTCTTTCTCATTGCCTGTTTACCACGACCTACAGCAGTGGTTCTCAAACTTTAGCTCTGAGCAGAATCACCTGGAGGGCTTGGGAAACTAGAGATTAGAATCTATACATGTCCCTGGGGCCTGATAATTTGTATTTCTTACTAAGATTTCTGGTAGTACTGATGCTGCTTATTTGGGGACCACGCTTTGTGAACCACCACCGTATATTATTCTTCCTTCCAATACCCTGATTTCACCTGTGTCCTTAGTTTACTTTCTCAGAACCTGCTGCAGTGGGTCACATTCTTTTTTTCTTTTTTCCTTTCTTTTTCCTATGCTGTACTTTTATCCCTGTGACAAATTTATTTTATAATTGGAAGTATGTACCTCTTCATCCCCTTTGCCTATTTTGCTCAGCCCCCCACCCTGCTCCCCTGTGGCAGCCACCAGTCTGCTGTGTTTATTTCTGTTAAATCCTTTTCGTCATAGGCCTTCCAAGGGTCTCTGGGTCTTGCATCATGTTCTGATGTACACACAGCACACACACTAGTTTTCACAGTTAGCTGTCTTTTTCCTGCATCGCCACGCCCAGAAATCTCAGCCAGTAACAAAGTGAGGATCGTTTTCTCTGGCACTGGCATTTTATGTCCCTTATTCCCACTACATCTGCCTGTCTGCCTCAATAGATTGTTGTGATGGGTAACATCTGTCCGGGATGGATGGCGGAGAATATTACCAAAGCTTGTGAACAGCAAGGAGCTGTTGACCCAGAGGTGAGCATACATTACAATCAAACTCAGTATTATCTTGTATTTGCAGGGAAGCGGTTCGGAGCTTCGTTCTGGAATTCGAGCTGGATTTTACCTGGGCTCAGGTGCTCACTAGCTTAAGCGAATCACTTCACATCTTGGGCCTCATTTTCCTCACCTATAGAATGAAGGAAATAATACCTTTGTTGCAAGAAGATGGCAAGAAATAGCAATAATATGTGCAAGTATGGACAGAAACAGCTCTCAAATAAACGGTAGCTGTTGTATTTAATAATTTTTTTAATTATTAAAATAATTGTGGGTTTTTTTTTCTTTCTCCCGGCCTTTTCTCGGCTGAGGGCCCGAAAAAGTATCCATTGTTCGTAGAGATCTTCCCTGCCCTGGTCCGAAGTTCCATTCATTTACAAAGACTGGTCACCTGCGCAGCGGGGCCGCGAACCCCGCAGGTTTCGCGAAGCCCTGCTCTTCGGGTATATACGGCGCGCGGCTGCCCCAGCTGCGGCTCAAGTCTGCGCTTCCAGGTTCAGTTTCAGGGTCTCGCCGGCAGCCCCGGCCGGCGGGCACGGAGCAGGCAGCTGGGCCAGGACGGCAGGGGGCCTCTGGGGGCCCCGGAGTTGGGAGGCGGCGTCCGGGAGCCCCCGGAGGATGGGCTGCGGACACAGCAGGCTGAGCTGCTGCAAACCCCCCAAAAAGGTAAAGAGCGCCGGCGGAGAAGTTTGCCTTTCGGGGCGGAGGGAGAGTGCGTAACGCTCCGCCGCAGCGGCTCCTGGCGCCCTGGGCTCCCTGCTCGCGGCCCGGGGTGCAGCGCGGAGAACCGCGGGGGGCTGGCACGGAGGGAGACCGGGGAAGCTCTGCCGGCAGCGCTCTTTCCCCGGCCCAGGGGCTGAGCCGCGCGGGGCAGCGAGTTTACAAACACGGCCGCTGGGCCCGGGAGCGCAGCTCATTTCAGCTGCCACGGTGAGGAAATGTCTGGTGCCTATGGCAGGTGCCCTTCTCCTTTGGTCGGGGGCTACTCGCTGTGTGGCCATGGATAATTACTTGACCTCTCTGGGCCTTCGGCTTTCCCACCGTTCAGGGGCAGATGATCTCTATAGGGCATCCACTTGCAGAGTAGTCCACAGATTGACGGCATCGGCATCACCCAGGACCTGTTAGAAATGGAGACTCTCGGGCCATGCCCAGATCTGCTAAAATAGAATCTGCCTTTTAACTAGATGCCCAGGTGGTTACAGTACGCTTTAAAGTTTAAAGAGCGCCTCCAGGCCCCGGAGCCGGTGCCTGCGAGCTGTCCTGGGGGTAGCTGGGAGGGGCCAAAGAAGGAGGAGATCTGCCGCCTCCTGCCGCCCTTCCTTTCCTTCCCGTCCCTCCCCCAAGGGGCCTCAGAGCTGGGTTAGGGCCCAGGAGACTCTACTCGGGTTTCTTGCAGTGGGACCAGCTGCCCCCTGGGGTCTGACAAGCCCAGGTCAGAGCCTGCAGCCAGAGGGCAGCCTCCTCAGGGAACAGCCTGAGGTGCAGAAGGGGAGGAAAGGGCCCTCAAGTCCTGAGCCTTCTTCCTACTACCTGTCCTTTAGACAGGTGGGAGTAGGTGGTTCCATAACGTGGTGATCAGTCCCCTGGAGACCTGAGAGGCCCCAGACTGTGACAAGAGTCAGTCGTTTTCCACTGAACTTGA